TAATTAAAGTCACCGAAAAGCAGAATACTGGATTTGGGATATTTAAGGTACAATTCATTGAAAGCGTCATTGAGGTTAATTAGAAAAGATGGATCGCTGTGAGGGGGTCGGTAACATACACCGATAAGGAGCGAAGCGTGTTGAACCGTGCAAGAAAGCCATAGCATTTCCAACGGTGAAGACAAGCTTACTAGGTTGCACACAAAACTATCTTTTATCGCAATCAAGACCCCCCCTCCCCGGCCACTTTCCCTATCTTTGCGGAATATATTGAACCCAGAAGTGCCCGTAAAAATTTCTGTATCAGTTACCGATGATGACAGCCATGTTTCAGTAAGCGCAATAATGTCACAATCGGTAGATGCAATTAGGCTACATATCTCGTCTTGTTTAGATATCACGCTTCTTATATTTGTGTAAATAAAGGACAGTGGCTTTGGGGGAGTGGGTTCATGACCGCGGCGAAAAGATCGGGTTAGTTAAGAAGGACACTCTTTTACGGTGTTTGCCGCGTCATCAAAATAGTATCGTTTTTGTCCAATGAGGAGCGTTTTGAAACGTAAGGAAAAGGGCATAGCTTGGTTACGCGCGAAAGTTAACAAATTCCTTCTAGCAAGCTGAACCGAAGGAGAGAAATCTTCACTTACAGCGAAGCTAGTGTCCTTGAACTTTTTACCCTGAGAAAAAATTCGTTCTTTGGTTTTATGAAGAGCAAATTTTACAATTATCGGGCGGTTCTGATTGGGACGATATCGACCTAGTCTGTGGGCACGCTCGATGCCGTCTGGCATGATGTTGATATCAAGATGTTGAGAACAAAGGTTTATTATTTTCTGTTCCGACTGTGCCCACGTTTCCCTATCAGAGTCAGGGAGGCCAAAAAAAAGAAGATTCGAGCGCCGCGATCTATTTTCCGAGTCATCTACGCGTTCAGCCAGAGTCGCTAAACTGTCAGTAAGGGTCGCCGTGACACCGCGGAGTTCGTCAAGATCATTTCGAATTGAATTAAAATGCGAAAACTCCTGCTCTATCCGCGTCATTCTGTCAGACAGAGCGTTGACCGTCTGGTCAGTGAGTGTAAGTTTGTTTTTGATTGCTTTCAGCTCGTCGAGTACAGTTGTTTGGCCGGCGTCAAGTTTAGTCAGCAACGCCATCATAGCTTCTGTGGTGACAGGGCCGGGATTTACCTCTACATCTCCACAGAGGAGCAACAACTGCCGTATCACGGCAGTACACTCAGACACAATGGCAAGACAACACTGGGGGCCCGGTAGCAAGAGCAAACACCTATTACTACTCTTTTTCGTATAAAGGCAGCAGGAATTACGGACCTGTACGAACAAGACGAACGGCGAGTTAGTGCTCATCGTGGTAGCGATGCCACCAGGCCCACAGTCCGGCGCGGTCAATGCTTCCTCGTTTATAGGCGAGTCCGTTGCTGTCGATGCCGCTTGACTTGTAAACTGGCCGAAGATAGTGGCCCAGTCGAAAACGCCGAAAGACAGGCCAGGGGAGTTGATCGCACCGTCATCCCACGAGCAATCAGATGTAGCAAACCACGCACGTGCCGGGCAAAAGCCAGACACAACCGCGGGCTCAGCGAAGGAAACGTTGAAGATCAGGATCTGTACGAACAAGACGAACGGCGAGTTAGTGCTCATCGTGGTAGCGATGCCACCAGGCCCACAGTCCGGCGCGGTCAATGCTTCCTCGTTTATAGGCGAGTCCGTTGCTGTCGATGCCGCTTGACTTGTAAACTGGCCGAAGATAGTGGCCCAGTCGAAAACGCCGAAAGACAGGCCAGGGGAGTTGATCGCACCGTCATCCCACGAGCAATCAGATGTAGCAAACCACGCACGTGCCGGGCAAAAGCCAGACACAACCGCGGGCTCAGCGAAGGAAACGTTGAAGATCAGGATCTGTACGAACAAGACGAACGGCGAGTTAGTGCTCATCGTGGTAGCGATGCCACCAGGCCCACGAGCTGTGGGCCTGGTGGCATCGCTGTTGTAAGCTTGCCTTTTTCTAATATTACAGTTGTATCCAAGAAGTTGATACTAGTCTGAGAATAAGAGTGAGTGAAGCGGATGGTTGGATGTACAGTATTGTACTGATTTATAAACTCTAGCAGCTTCTCTTCTGTGTGCGGCCAAATAAGAAAAATGTCATCTATAAACCTCTTGTAGATCAGTGGTTGTAAAGAACAGAGAGGAATTTGGTCTCCAGCTTACCCATAAATATGTTGGCATAACTAGGTGCCATCTTAGTACCCATCGGCACTGCGATGGGTACTGCATAAACTTATTCCCTCAATTAACTGGCCTAAATTCCGGAAATCGTTGAAACGCCCTTTCAAAGTCGCTGTCACCCTACTTAATACGTCACACAAAAGACAGTCTGCAGATTCTGCCTAAGGCCTGTTTCTTCCTTATATGAGGGTCACATATGTCATACAAAAACTGTCAAACATGCTTGGAACATGCACCAGGAGTATCTTCAGGTAATCATGTCATCATGTGTCCAGCGAACACCATGTCTTTCCTATGATATCTGAGTACTGCAGCCTGTATTTCGTCGAAAGTGCAGGAAGCGAGCTACTAGAGAAGAAAACAAATTTGATGCGTGGTCGAAATTTGGTCGTCTCAAATCCACCGTCCAATTGATAACAACGTACACAAAAACAAAATTGAGGGTCGAGGGATGTCGCGAGCGATTCCGAAAAAGCGCGTGTGCTCGTCGTCGGCTGTAGTACCATTTTCCTCGTCTATCCCAGACACGGCCGAGCGCACCGGACTCCGCGAACGGCGTATCACCAACGCCAAGCGAGGAATCGTCCGATGCGGGTGGGCGGCGACCGTGACGCTGAGCCGGAGTCGTGTAACGAGCTCGGCCGGCGATGCTGAGAGAGGCCCGGCCGCAGCGGCGGGCATTCCTCCCGTTGCTACACAGCGGGCGGTCGCGCGTGGCATAACGCCCGCATTCCGAGCCGGCGACGAGCAGGTCCCGCCCGGGGTTCTGATCCGGCTCTCGGGGGAGCGCTTCACGGGCTTCGGAGCCCGACACCGGAGAGGAGGAATCGGGCAGGGGGAGGGGAAGCGACCGCTGGTCTGAGGTGGCCGGCAGATGCCGCCACCGGAACGCGTATTCGGAAAAGCTTGTGGAATAAAGGCTGGTTCACACACTTGTGTTTGCTTACGACCGAGTTCTTGTTAACTCTTACGACGAGAGGAAACACTGACACGCTGGCGCCATCTGTGAAGTGATCCTGGAACAACATTTCGATAAAGCGATAGTTTCGAGAAATTTGGGAGATGAAATTAATTTCATTTCATTTAATAGTGCAGACGCTAACAGGAGGCAAGGTTACAGGGTAAAATTCGTCTACAACAAATTGATAATCAACAACTTGTCTTACACGTGGGACACGGAAAATGACACCAGAATATGTATTTCCACAACAGAACGTTCCATGGCGTCTGTTGAAGGGGGTGTAGCCCGAAACAACCCATTCCCGTTTGAACCCGTCCCATTTCGACCCATTCCCGAATCGACCTTCCCGTTTGAACCCTTCCCGTTTCGACCCATTCCCGTAACGACCTTCCCGTTTGAACCCGTCCCGTTTCGTCCCATTCCCGAAACGCCCTTCTCGTTTGAACCCTTCCCGTTTCGTCTCATTCCCGAAACGCCCCTCTCACTTGAATCCGTCCTGTTTCAACTGATACCCGAAAGACCCTTTGCGTTTGAACCCGTCCATTTTCAGCCCATTTGTATAAAACCCTGCGCATGCCAACCTCTTCGCGAAAGGCTAATCGTTCAAATCCTGGTCAGCGCACCTTTTTGGCTTAAGAATACATGTTCTGAAATATTTCTGGAAGCCGGTGTGTTTTAAAAATATGCACCTTTCAGGTAGGCTTCGATGTAATATATTATTCTTACTTCAACCACTTAAAGTTTTTTTTTTTTTTTTATTTCAAGATGATCCCCATAAAGGCCCGTTCACACTCTTGCAACCGAGTTCGACCGAGAGAGACCAGACCGGTTTTTAAGCCTTTTGCGACTTCTTAGGACCGGATGCGCTGCAGCTGAGCTGCTCCTAAGAGATCGCAAGAGGCTTAAAAACCGGTTTGGTTGCTCTCGGTCGAACTCGGTCGCAAGAGTGTGAACGGGCCTTAACGTGCAACCGCGAAATGGCCTAAGTACATTCGGCGACGCCGTTGCTGCAAAAACGACCTTGTCGATTCTTTTAGAATTTTACTTCGGAAGGGTATTAGCAGGTACCAAATTTTAGGGCCTAGGGTAGTGGCTCAGATAAGCACTTCCAAAGAGAGCAATAGTGTTTATGGCAGCTTTTTAATTCTATGAGATAAACAGCAACGCCGCCGATCGCTTGTTCGCGGTAACATTTTCACGCTATGCACAATAATGAAGTCTTACGTACACAATCACTTTGGGTAAGCTAAAATTAGCGTCGCCGTCGCGACGCTATTTTCAGTTTACCCAAAGCCTTGCGTACATTCTCCTAAAACCTTATATTTTTGATTGTGATATTTTGGAGAGCGAGAAATCAGACAGGGGGACAGACATATCATCGCGACTTTATTTGCTTTTACACTTTTAAACATTGAACACTCGCGCACACAGAAAAACATCACAGACCGGAAAATGCCTTCGCTTTGTTGAGAAACTCAAAGATGGAAATCGTGCCATTAGAAAGGCGACACTCGAGCTCAGAAAGCTTGCGGTCCTTGCTGACCCACTTGTGGCCCCTGGCCCGCACAGCACCACCATTCGCAAGCTGCTGCAAGGATATCCTAGTCAAAGCCTCATCCCGTTTAATTAAATCGATAAAACTGTAAATGTTCGGGTGGGCCCTCCCTGACACCGCATTTATTTTACGGTGCCAGGACTCCATGTGGTTGTTTGTCCGTGGCCCTCGGTTTCCGTGGTGATTCCATTGCTGAATCAAAAAATGACCATTCATCCAGGTGCCATCAAAATAGTCAAGCACAGTGATGACGCCTGAAACACCGAGGGATACGCCTTCTTGTCGCAAAAACAGCCATGCACGCTGGACGTCAGAAACTGGAACGAACGACAGCGCCACCATCTTTCTAATATGGGACCTAATAGTGTCATCCTGCCCGTACGCAGTTTGGAGGCCGGCTCTTTGTACTGCAGCCCACACTCTTTTTGTGAAATGGAAATGGCACCCACGATGGATTGCGGTTGGGAATAAAGTCAACAAGCCTGCGATGAGCGCCTGCTCGAAGTCTGTTAGAAAAATGTCAGGATTCGGAAACACGATGCCCGCACCAGCGAATACATTCCTCAAGTTTTGAAATGCTCGAACATACGTCTCACGAGATCTACCAGACAGCAGAAAGTACACTGCGGGTGAGTGTTTGCCATCCGACATGACATGAATGGTCAGGAGTTGATCAAAAATCTGAGGCACAACAAAAAATGTACCATCAACAAAGAGCATCTTCGCGGATGACAAGCGCAGCAAACCCTCCCGTGATGCAAAGGCTAAGATCCGAGAACCACCAACACTAGTGTCATCGATTACAAGGAAGGGATGGCCGTCTTCTGTCTGTTGGTACAACGGGCTCAGCTGAATGTCGTCCGCAGTTGCAGGAAGTTCCGGCTGATGACGGCGTCGCTCTCTGTACATGGCGTTCTCCAGGCTTGCGAAAGTCGGGATTTCAGCTACAACATCGGCCGCGCTCTAAAAATAAATGCAGTTCCCGCTTTAGCCAACAAACCTGATTACACATGAAAACATACAGTCCCCTTTTCTTTTCCTTTTAGCTGCACCAAATTTTCAAAGAAACGGAAGGTGAGATAGGGTAGTTTGAGCCCTTGGGCCAAGTTGGTGGCCATTCTGGCCGCTTGAACTAAGGCGCAATGGCGGAATTAGGTAGTTACTTAACTAAAATGGGTAGGTAAATTTAGCATCTGAGGGCTAGGGGCATAGGGTATATAAAAGATCGAAGCTCGACCTCAATCTGGCTTAGCCGTACCGTAAAAGTTTGATTAAAAAAGTATTAGTGGGCACTACAGGGCAAGAAAGTTTACCCTTGAACAAGGCTGACATATCTTGCCCCATAGCGCCCACTATGAATTTTAATTCAGAATGGTACTTCACATCTAGACCATATTGAGGACGAGCTTTAATTATCCAAATACATTACGCGCCCTCGAGTGAAAAATAATTAAAACGTTTTAGTTAATTAGCTAGCTAATGACCTAATTTCGCATTTTTCTAGTGGCCACCAAGGCCATTATCACTGCCCCAGGACTCAAATTACTACATCTCACGTTTACTTTTTTCTAATATAGCCCAGCTAAAAAAAAAAAAGCCCATTATGATCGCACTTTCACAAAATGGACACTTACGGCTTGAGATGCGCGAAGAAGTTCCTGGTTGTAGAGCGTCGGAGCTGCAACGTGAGGATTAGAGGCCACTTTTTCTTTTAGTTCCATTCTGATCCGGTCCTTGACAACGGCTGTTTCATCGGGAGGGTGATTGTGGTCGCCTAAAAAAAATGAAATGTTAATTTCGCACTGCAAATTCACGTTAACCTTCAGCTTTAAATAACCTTTCTACTCACGAAGGGTGTTCTTGACATGATCTCCTTCCGTCAGGATTGATGCAGGGCAGCAGGATGAACCATGGTTGGCACACCGCCACGCAACAGTTCCGTTCGCATTCGAACGTTTCTTGTGGTACTTATATCCATCTAAGTGTAAACACTGCTTCTTTTTCTGGGTTTGTAAGATGACAAACGAAGACATCCTGCGGCGGTGACAGCGGTAACTGCTATGCGTTTACAGCACTGCCGACACACTAACACCAGAACAGCGTGCAAAAAATGACTGCTGGTGATTAAATCTTCAAGGTCGTTTTGGGAGAGGGTGAAATTAGGTCACCAAGGAAGACAGACATGGTACACTTGAACTGACTGAACTGATAACAAACTTCCCGTGGACAGTGCGAGGTGACACGGGTCGAAACGGGAAGGTTGTTTCGGGAAAGGGCGAAATGAGAAAAGATGAAACGGGAAGGTCGTTTTGATCCGGGTCGAAACGGGAAGGTACAAACGGGAAGGTTGAAATGGGAATGGGTTGAAACGGGAACCACCCGTTGAAGGTGCCTTTTCACCGTGACACGTCGTACCTTGTTCTAAATCTTTGAAATTAATAAACGTCAATGCCAGAAATTTTGCTAACAAAAACCTTTGACCTTGATTGTTTGTTGTATGATCACGAACCTGACATTGTTGCTGTAACAGAAACGCGGCTGCATAGTTCTATTCATGATTCAGACATTATTCCCCCATCGTATAACATTGTTCGGAACGATCGCGAATCACGTGGTGGGGGCGTTGCCGTTATCCTGAAAAATCATTTGGATTTTGTTGTAATCAATTACGCTCCTGATATCGAGTGTTTATGGCTAAAGCTTACCGGGTTTACTCCGCCAATCGTCCTGGGCGTAGTCTATCGTTCGCCAAATGCTTGCTCATCCGTTCTTGATCTTCTTGCTGATTTTGTTTTTAAGATTAAACAAAAATACCCGGTTCTTGTTATGGCTGGTGACTGTGACTTGCCATTAATTGATTGGGATTCTACGTGTAGTGGCAGTGATTGCCCTAATTCATCCTTTCTAGTTGACCTGGTTTATAATGACAATCTACTTCAAATTGTTAGTAGTCCAGCACGAATCACATCGTTTTCTCAATCTATACTAGACCTCGTGTTTCTATTGGAACCACTTCCGGCACGTACAGTCAGCACGAAATGAAACCCGAAAGCCGGAACGCGTGGCCGTTGATACAGTCTGCTCCACCTGGAGGGCCCCTGAGCACTAATGAAAATGCGCCGGGGTGCGAGGGTGCGGGCCTACTAAGCTGAGCTCGACCCTCGCGCGGCGCGTCTGGGAGTTCCGCGTTTCGCCGGTGGCGCGCTGTAAGCGCCGTCACATCCGACACAAAAACACTATCACTCGCTTTGTGTGTCGGATTCCCAGCGATATCTCTTCAGCGCTGTCATTCATTATCGCTTTGTGTATCGCAAGGGCGAAATGAAAGTTGAAACATTTCGTGCACGGAAGACTGCTTGATGACGTGTCACCGGAACCACGCTGCGGTGAACAACGTGCCACGCGCTGTTTCTGAGAAATAGTGAAACGTCATAAACGCGAAATGAAATTCGTTTGTTCGCACGACCATACTCTTTATGAAAAAAGAAAAAAAATGCTGCAACAGACTGACGCGGATCCCTCGGGTTTTATGAGCAATGCACATGTTTCGTGCTAGGTTATCAGTCGATTCTTAAAGAGCGAGAAATTGCTTGCTGACGCTCTCTTTGGCAACCACCGATATGCCGGGCGTATCAATTCCGGAGCGGAATAAATTCATCACCCTGTCTGAGCAGGGCCTATCACAAAGAGCTATAGCCAGGTTAAGCGGTCGCCCGTTGTCAACCGAGCGACAGTGCGGCGACAGAAAAGCACCCCGAGTGACGGCGCTTACAGCGCGCCACCGGCGAAACGCGGAAGTCCCAGACACCCCACGCGAGTGTTGAGGACATCTTAGTAGGACCCGCACCCTCGCACCCAGATGCGTATTCATTAGTTCTCAAGGGCCCTCCAGGTGGAGCAGCCTGTATCGATGGCCACGCGTTCCGGCGTTCGGGTTTCATTCTGTGCTGACTGTACGTACGACTGCCAAGAGGTGGATGGGATCTCTGATCATCAAATTGTACACGTTGAGTTTTCTACTTCAACACTTCGTCCTTCATTACGTAAAAAGATTTCTAGGCGTGTGCTTAATTCTTCTAAAGCAGAAGACGAGTCAGTACTTGACGCGCTTGAGGTGTCGTTTGATTATTTTTCAAACATGTGTTCTGATGGTTCTTCTATTGATACCCTTTGGAATTGTTTTAAAGAAACCGTGCTTGAAGGTTTACGAAGGTTTGTTCCAACGAGTATCAAAGTTACCAGAAAACGTAATCCTAGGATAACTCGCGATATCCTACATCTAAAACGAAAAATCAATCGTGCCAGGAAGGGCAAAAGACGTTTAAATATCAATGAAATGCGTACAAGACTGAACGCTATGATTAGTCTTGCAAAACATAAGTATAACATTATAACTTTGCACACGTTCCTTAGGGAATCACCCGATTAGTTTTCGAGGTCTTTGTCCCCGGTTCGAAAAGACATTTCCAACTTTATGGTTTCGGACAGATTATTAACGGATGACTGTGCCATCGCTCAAGGTTTCAATGATTATTTTTCGTCTGTTTTCACCTCAGATAACGGCATTATTCCTTGTTTAAACCTGTCAGCCAACCTATCAGTGTTACCCGATGTTTTTATCTCTCCCGAAGGACTGTTTTCAGCGTTGCTTAATCTTTCGACAAAAAAGCTGCTGTTCACGACGGCATTCCAAATATGTTTCTCGTTCGCTACGCAGAATGGTGCTCAAAATATCGTTACCTAATATTTAAAAAATCATTTTCGGAGTCCGTTATTCCTGTAGAATAAAAAATTGCAAAGATCGTTCCCGTTCACAAATCTGGATCTCATCTCTTGCTTGGAACTCCCGGCCAATTTCTTGGCGTCCTTAGTGCTCTAAACTCTTAAAGCACGTTGTTTTTAAACATATGGCAGCGTATTTAGAAAATCACAACTCTTTTAACGTGGATCAACATGGTTTTCGTCATGGCTTTTCAATTACAACGCAATTACTTGAAACCGTCCATGATTTTGCTGAAATATTAAATCGTTCTAAACAGGTTGATATACTTTTTCTTGACCTCGCCAAACCGTTTGACAGAGTGTCACACTATAAACTGCTTCTAAAATTTAAATCAATCGTGCACAACGATATCATCTACTCCTGGCTTGACAATTACTTGCTAGAAAGAAAACAGTACGTTCAGATAAACCCTAGTGCATCCTCGCCAGTCTCTGTGCTATCAGGCGTTCCACAAGGGTCAGTCCTTGGGCCTTTACTTTTTTCAATTTTTATAAACGAAATCACTGCTAACATTCCTGTACGAGCACGTTTTTTTTTTTGCGGACGATGTTGTTATCTTTACTGAGGTGAATGATGTTAATGACCAGACATTACTAAACAGTTGCTTATCCAAGAACAACGATTGGTGTGACTCGTGGCAGATGTCACTCAATGTTAACAAATGTGTTCGAATGCATATTACCCGAAAAACTAGTTTTCTTTCCTATAATTATTCCATTAACAACTATAAATACCTCGGTGTAATCATTTCAAACGACCTGCGTTGGAACACCCATATCAAGTATATTGTTCGCAAGGCATTCACTAAGCTCTGGTTTCTCCGGCGAAATTTAAAGCAAACTTCATCGGATGTAAAATTAACAACCTATAAAACGTTTGTCCTGCCTATATTAGAGTATGCGTCCGTTGTCTGGGACCCGTTTACTAAAACCAACATAAATTTACTTGAATCCATTCAGAAAAAAGGCTTGCGTTTCACATACAACAAATTTCATAGACAATACCCGGTTTCCAAACTATATGTGTGTTCCAGCATTAGCCCATTAACCCGTAGACGCACGTTTCAAAGATTAAAATTTTTGCTCAACCTACTAAACAACCGATTTAGTATTGACACCTCTACATATATTTCACCTGCTCTTCATAATTACCTCACGCGAAATTTTCATTGTAGATCATTACAAGAACACAGCTGTAGGGTCGATGTATTTAAGTTCTCATTTTTCCCAAGGACCATTCATGATTGCAATGCCCTAGCCAGTCATATAATAAATGCTTAATCTGAGTCATCACTCATTGCTAACCTCCGCAGTTTCTGTAACTCCTGCGATTGACGATATTTCTTGTAGGTTTTTTGTTGTTGTTTGTTTTTTGCTTTAATTTTTATTCAATACTGTATAATGATGACATCGATTGCCTTATTCACGTGTGCTAAAATCACTAGAAATGTATGCCTTTATACAACATTATGTAGCCCCTCTCCTACCACATCTCCCGAAGGAGATAGTAGTATCAATAAATAAATAAAATAAAAAATTAATTTATTGTTCCCTCGGTGCTTCAATAAATTACAAAGGGGGAGAGCCGGTTAAAAAAAGGTCAATAACAAAAGACGTATAACAGGTTAGGCACAGTCAACAAGAATATTACTATTCATGGAAATTCTAAAACGCTCGGCATCTGTGATGGTGGCAATAGTCCCGGGAATGTGGTTTTAGTCGTGGGACAATTGTGCGTGCAATCTAAGAGATTATTTAGAGTAGAGCCCTACGTGGATAACAGTTTTATCATACGCATCCTATTCGCATCGGCAGACTTCGTGTCTGCATCCGACACACATTCGCAATGTCTTTAAATAATTGTATCCGGATCCGATCCGCATGCGCAGGCTTTGTATCCGTATCCGAACCGCATCCGCAAAAGTAGGAACCGCATCCGACTCTCAATCCACGCGTTCACTACGACCTGGTTGCCAGCTTTGGTGAAGTGAACTCAAGAAACCACATCACGAAGAGGCACCCCAATGTTCTTTTGGAACCTTTGTAGGCTCTCTGCCCGGACCCGTACACCTTGTGACCAAGCCAGCGGCATGTCCCAAAGTAGTAACAAGTTGCCGAGTGCCAGTGAACATCAAGCCTCAGCTCAAGACAACTATAAGACGCTTGGAACAAACAGAAATCATCAAAAGTGTCACTGAATCGACACCTTGGGTCAGCCGAATGGTTATCGCTACAAAGAAAAATGGTGAAA